CAAAGTGTGGAGCTCTATAATCTGCTGAGGGCAGAAGTGAATTTGTTGCATTAAGAGAAAACTCCTCTGATTTGATTTTTCTTTTGGGCACACTCTGGCAGGACTGGGACATCCTAAACCTTCTTGGTTTGGCTTTTAAAATACAGGTGAGTGGGAAGAACAATCAAAACACCAAAATGCTCTTCTTCCTAAGAAGCTGAAAAGGATTAATTTATTTAATTTCTTAAGCTGTAGCCTGAATTATCCCCATGAGGGATAATTGGGGATTGCTCTGGCTCTGGGTCTGTGTTTATAACTTTCAGAGCCCATTACCCTCTTATGTTTTATGTTTTGGGGAACGTGGCAACACATTTAAAACAGGGTTTTTGCCAGAATTCTGGAGAATGCAAAAACTGTGTCTCTGCTTCTGGGAGAAGGGAGATTGTACATTCTAATTGAGTGCTGTGTTTTAAAACCAGCCCACTCCATGTGCCAGCACATTCCTTAGAATTTCCAGTCATCAAAATCCTTGGAAATTCTTCTTTTGTTTTGGTTTTTCCTTTTCAGTTTTCAACAGCCTCTCTAATTAATGGAGAAGAGAAAAACCAATTTGCTGCTTTTCAGTTCTAATGCTTGCTCTCTGCGTGCTGTGATTTGAACTCGTGGTTACATTTAAATGTCATTTTTAGCCATATTTCCATAGTTATATCAAAACTGCAATGACAGATATTAGAAACATCTTGAGGAGTGGTTAAGTTTGAGCAGGAATATTTGCCTTCTGTTGGAGGCAACTGAAATGGGGGAAGGCAAAAGCATTTCTGTAAAATGACAAATTTACAGCATTCTGGTGTAAACGAAATCTGTGTTTGTCAGAACCAAGAGGCAACATGTTTTTGTTAAATGCTCGGAGGGTTTAAAGCTTTTTAAATAAAAGGAACCTCGGTTCATTTGGGTTTCATTTGGGTTCTCCCCCAGCGCAGAGGGAAGCAGTGAAATGAAATGCCAGGTACCTGACAGGCAGTGAAGGGTTTGATTCTCCACAGGAAGGGAGGCACGTCCAGCACTGAGATCTGGAGGCTGCAGGTGTTGCCTTTAAAATGCAGAAGTTTGGGTTCCTCCAGCAATTGTCCCCCTTGGAGCCTTTCATCCGAAACCACTTCCTGCAAGGGAGGAGAATATTTCCGGTATCAGGAACAAAGCCCAGATCCAGTGATTTGGGGATTCTGGATCCAGGGATCCAGAATTCCTCTCTGTGGGGGTCCTAGGCTCCCCCACAGTGTTGAATGCACAGTGGAGTCTCTCTCGTGGGCAGCTGATGGTATTTATAATATAAATATTTATATTTATTAATAATTGATATTTATATTTCCCAGAAGGCTGGGTTTGGGCACTGCCAGCCCCATTTCTGGGCAGGTAATGCTGGTTGGACACTGAATTTTTGGCTGTCTCCACTCTCCAACACCCCCAGTGTAGCCCAGCACAGCTGGATTCCAGAGCAGCTTTGCTGGGGAACTTCTCTGAGGGCTTTTCAGAGCCTTCAAAGGCTTCAGGTGAAACCATTCACTTCCATTTCCCACCTCTGGGGCGCCTCCAGAATCACTGCACAAGACCCTGAGCAGTGTGAAGGGCAGACTCTAGGCAGGGGTTTGCACTACAGCCCTCCAGAGCTCTGTTCCAATAGAAATTTTCATGTAATTCAATGAATTTAAAACATAATGGCAAAAAAAAAAAATCACCCCTGCCGGTACTTAAGCAATGTTTATTCCTGTGCTGCTGCAGTAAAAACACCAGTGAGGGAGGAAAGGTTGCAGAAGTGTTTAAAAATCAGCAGGCAAGCAGTGCTTCCAAATTACCTTTCTCAATCCACATAAATTATATCAAATGTGTGTCCATGGAAGGGGTTTAGTGCTTGTCAGGACCAAAGTCGCCGTTAGAGGAGCTCCTGGAATCACTGTGACCTTCTGCAAATTCGATGCTCCAGCTCTCTGAAACTGCACTAATGGATTTCTATTATAAACCAATTTTTTTCCAGGCATTTAGGTTGGTTTAACCCCTGGTGGTGCTCCAGACAGCAAGGCAAGATGTATTTATTCTATTTGCCATCTGCATTTAGGTTGGTTTAACCCCTGGTGGTGTTCCAGACTCCAAGGCAAGATGTATTTATTCTATTTGCCATCTGCATGGCAGCTGTCTTTTGTCCAGTTTGAAGTTTTCCTTATCTCTTCCACAATCACTCTTGGGAGGGAACATCTGCTGATAAGAGGCCACTGAATGTCACTGCATGGCTGATAAGAGCTACAGCATCCCATTGGGAGATGTGAGCCCAGGGGGAGGAGCCAAGCATTCCTACCCGGATATAATCTGGAGATTCTGGAACACCAGCATGGCTTCTCCACTGGATTCCCCAGAGGAACAGCAGCTGCCTCTCCTTCCACTGGATCTTCAGAGGAAGAATCCATCCTTCTCTACAGAACCCCGCCCCAACAAAAACAACCCCGAAAACGCAGGAGGGCAGAGCCACAATTCCAATGGCACTGCTGCCAACACCCTGACCCACAGGGTGTCAGGCTGGGTTCTGACTCTGTCAGTGTTGGTTCAGTTCACTGCATTGTTTATTTTATCTTTTTATTTTCTTCCGTATTAAAGAACTGTTATTGCCTGCTCCCATATTTTTTGTCTGAGAGCCCCTTAATTTAAATTATATAGCAATTCAGAGGGAGGAGGTTTGCATTTTCCATTTTAGGGGAGGCTCCTGCCTTCCTTAGCTTCCTGTCTTTCCAAAATAAGTCAAGTGGTTCAGTTCATCCAAAGGAAGAATACTGGGAGACTTCAGTTTTTGGTTTCCAGCCACAGATTATTTCTTAACCATTCTCAAAATTCCTGGAGAATATTGGATGGTTGTGAATGTTGTGTGAGTGCTGCTCTGCCTTCAGTGACAGATGTGGGGCTCCTCCCACAGCAGGAGAATTTGGGGCAAAACACAAAGGACCTGGGTCTCTCCAATTTTGAGAGCCAGGAGTTCCCAACACACTCAGAACTTCCCAAAGGCCCAAGGCAGCTGCTGGGGGAGCAAGGAGAGTTTTCAGCCAGGGAAAAAGTCAAAAACAAGGGAATTTTGTCTCTTACATAAACCTGCACTGTGCAGGATTAACTGCCAAACACCACTTGGCAACCCCAACACCAATATTTTATCCAAAAACCACTGAAATTCCCCATATTTTATCCAAAAGGCTCTGAAATTCCCCATATTTTATCTAAAAACTCTGAAATTCCTTGTATTCCTGATATTGCCTTGCTTTTAGGGCTGCATCATTCCATAAATGCAGGATTGTCTCACTATCCACACACACCCTGCTCACTCCTGGCAAGGCAGAGAACTGGTAATTATTCTTCTGATCATTTCCTCCAGACTCATCAGGAAGACACCGGTACCCACTAATTGTCTAAGTGTTATAAAGAGGATAATTAGGCAGCCATTGTGAGCCTCTAACAATCCTTTTGGTGCCTTGGCTTTTATTAGCAGCACAGAGACAGCAGCTCCACTCACAGCCCTGTTCCCATTCCTGTGCCACAGCAAGAGGAAGGAAAAATTCATCTCACAACTGTTTGCATTTCAGTTCCCCAAAGAGCAGCATTTTATCCAAAAACCTCTGTAATCTGCTGTATTTTATCCAAAAACCTCTGTAATTTTCCATATTTTATGGCAAATCTCATGCCACAACTGTTTGCATTTCAGTTCCCCAAAGAACAGCATTTTATCCAAAAACCTCTGTAATTCCCCATATTTTATCCAAAAACCTCTGAAATTTCCTATATTTGATCCCAAAACCTCTGTAATTCCCTGTATTTATCCAAAAACCTCTGAAATTCCCCATATTTTGAGCTCCTGAGTTCACCAAAAGCCAGAGAATGTCACTGTTGTGTCCTGGAACATGGTGCAGGAAAACCATTCTGATCCCAGGTGCCATGTGGGGATTTGGCTTTTTTTTTTTTTTTTTTTAAGAGGAAATGCAGGATAATTGAATTTTTGTAAACCAGGGCTGGGTGAGTTTGGGCAGCTGAGAATGTGGCAAAAAGTGAGGGAGCAAACAAGATAGTTTGGCTGCCCTAAAGCTCTCAGTGTAAATCCACAACTGCAGGGAATTTAAGGGATTTATTCAAACGGTGCAGCAAGTACTTTAAAAAATCCATTATTCCCATTGGGTTAAGGTTGGGGATGAAAGGAGCAAAAGGGTTTAATGGGAGAACCAAGCAAGCCCAGAGGAGCAAAGTGAAGGCATTTACCTGGAATGCACAAGGGGTGTTATCCACACAATAAACCCTCAGATTGTAATCCAGAGAATTGCAAGACAGGCAGCCAAAAACGGCGACTTTCAGCTGTCGAACGGCGCAGTCTGAGATGGGTTCCCCAATTAGGGCATAAGTTCCAAAGCTGTTTAAGAGAATGTGACAGGCATAAGGATCCAACAGGCAGTAGCAAGAAGTAGTTTCCTCTTCCACAGACATCACTTCCTGCAAAACGAAATTCAGGTTTAAAGAGAATAAAGCAAAGTAGAATCAATAGGCCTCGACAATAGGAGTCATGGCATTAATTCTTTATTTTTATTCAATTGGAGTGCAGTGTGTTGCTGGGAGCCACTCTGGGGGAAGGGGAGAAGGGGACTGCTTTCCTGAGTAAATATTCCCAATTTAGCCCTGAGTCAGCAGGCAGATTTATGGCCATGCCCAGCACAGAGCTCGCTGTGTACATACAATAATAATGATGATGCCTAAGCAATTTTAGCAGCTCTTTTCAAGTGCTCTTGACTTTCTGGCTAATTTTTCCCCCCAGTGTCAAGTTAAAAAATTACCTTGAAGGTTAAAGTCAATAAGCAAACCTTGAACAATGGCTGGGCTTTGACTTCCTTCCAGAACACCCATTACAGCCACATTTCCCTTCCTCAAAAACTCCCTCTGCTCTGCCTCTGCTGCTCAGTCCTGCCCTGTGACCCTCTGTCTGTGTGTCCTGTGACCCTCTGTCCATCTGTCCCTGTGTCTGTGTCCCCTGTCCCCCTCCTCAGTGACCCAGGCTGTCTGAGCCAGCAGTGCTGGAGCTGCCCAGGACTGAGTAAATCTGAATCAGGAAAATGGCACTGGGAATGGTTTAAAGCACAGCAAACCCCAGTAAATCTGAATCAGGAAAATGGGGCTGGGAATGGTTGAAAGCACAGCAAAACTCAGGCAGAGGCTCAGAGAGGGACAGGACAGAAGGACAGGCTGCAGCCATGGCATCCATGGCATCCATGGCTGGGCTTTGTAGCCATAAACTTCTGCGCATCTTTGTGTGAAATACCCAAACCCAATTCTGCTGCTTCATCACAAAACACAAAATCTTTTTTGCTCCGATGGTTTCTTCTTCTCTATGTCTATCCTCACCAGAACCCCTACACAACCAAAGCTTAACTCCATTTCCACACTGGGTGTAGGGGAATAGAATATAAGTGAAAAAAGGAAATATAGAAAGTAATCTTATCCCCCAAAGAGTTGGGGCTGAGCCAATTATTAAGGATCAGGAGCAGGCCTGATGTTAACAGGCCACAGCTGTAGCCAATAAGAAGAGTGTTATAAAGGAGTGGGTTGGTTGGTTGAGGGGAACTGGAGTCAGTTGGCTGCTGTGAGGACAAGAAAGAGTCAGTGCCTAAGAGGAGCTGCCTACAAGAAACATCAAGGAGGCACGAAACTCTGCTGACATGGAACCCTTGCAATGTACTGACAATAGAACTCTTGTGATAGAGTGACAACAAATGGTGACCCCGACGTGATTCAGTAGAAATGACCCTGATGTGAAAACACCAGGGCACAGACTGGGGCTGGGCTTACCTCCCACTTCCCCTGCTGGGTCCTCCTTTTGAGGTGGATGCTCCAGTGCTGGGGGTCGGCGTGGGCGCAGTGCGGGATGCTCAGGGCACAGGGGGTGCTCACAGCCAGCTCGGGGGGCCCACAGCTCACCTCGGGGCCCAGCAGCACCTCGGGGCCCTCTGGCTCCAGGCTTGGGGCTGGGCTTACCTCCCACTTCCCCTGCTGGGTCCTCCTTTTGAGGTGGATGCTCCAGTGCTGGGGGTCGGCGTGGGCGCAGTGCGGGATGCTCAGGGCACAGGGGGTGCTCACGGCCAGCTCGGGGGGCCCACAGCTCACCTCGGGGCCCAGCAGCACCTCGGGGCCCTCTGGCTCCAGGCTTGGGGCAGCAAAGACAAGAGTAGCTGTCAGGAGTGAGAATTCACTGAAAAGAGTTCAAATCCAAGCACCTCCCTCATCTGTCTAGGGGTTTCTGCGGTCAGGATGACCCCAAGATGTGTTAAAAAATCTTTTTTCCCAGATCAGCTGCCAAAGAAGAAGTCATGATTCCTTGGCTCTCCTTCTCAAGGTTGTTAGATAAGAAATAATAATTTCTTATCTGTCACATTCTTTCTCTGACCTGCTGAGATCTGTCCAGCAGGTCGGGTTGTGGCACAGTCCCTGCCCTTGGGGTGCTGTTGGCTTTTTATACTAAAAACCACATGGACTTTAATTACAATAATTTTCCAATACCTATCACCTATGTTAGACAGTCTGTCTCTAAACCAATGCAAAAGTGTCACCAGCACAGCAGAAGATGGAGGACAAGAAGAAGAAGGACAGGACACATCCATATTCCTACATCTTGCCTCTTGTACCCCCATTCTAAAACCCCCAAAATTCTACATTTTCACCCTGTGACAAATTAACCATCATTCTACTCAAACTCATGTGGCTTGTAACTCCTCACACCAAGTTAGTAATTTTTTCCAAGGGCTAAAATCAAAGGCACCGATGGTTTTGACTCCGTGCCAAGGTCTCTGAGCCCCCTGCCAGGGTCTGGAGTCCCCCAGGGCAGCCAGAGGAATTTCCTGGGCTCCCACACTGCTGCTCATTTCTGCTCCTTTCACGTGGAAACAGCAGCTGGAGATGAAACAAACCCATCAGACCCCATCTAACTCCAATCAGTGGCCGGTCAGTTTAGGACTCTGGTATTTAAAACACGTTTCAATTTATTTAACCCAAATCCAGCGCTGGAATTGCTCTGTGCCAGCCAGCCCAGCTCCGAGCACCAGCTGGTCCCGTCCCCACCGTGCTCTGCCTTCAAACGCTGCCATCAACAATATTTTCAGAGGAGCGAAGATAAAACAAATTATGGCTGAAAAAACACAGGCTCATAAATTCTTCCAGATTGAGTGTGATCTCCCTGCTTTGAAAGCCCATTTGTATTCTGCAGGAGGAGGGAGCTCGGTGAGTTTTACAGACTCAGGGACAGGGCTGTGCTTGGAATTAGGGCTGGGGCAGGTGGAGCCGTGGCTGTGGCTCTGGGACAGGCAGGGGAGATCCCAGCTGAGCTCCAGGGATTCACCTGGGCTCAGTCAATGGCTGCATCCTCTGCCTGCTGCCTTCCAGAGATGTGTAATCTGCTTTTCTTCTCTCTCACTCCAACAAACTGGAGCCACCCCCACATCCACGTGTTTTCTGTATCTCTTGGAATGAATCCCTGGGCAGGAGTGGTGCCAGAGTGGAGGAGAATCCCTTGGACACTGAACCAGCAATTGAAACCTCTTGCCCTGCTGGTTTTGTTGCTGTTTGGTTGTGTTTTAATCCATTTTGGTTCTAAATCACTGGGCGTGCAGTTGCCTCTTCAAACGAAAGCAAATGGTGTTTCCAAGATAAAAAAATGAGAGGAGGAACCTCAAGCGAGGTAAAAATTAGGGGAAGAACCTCAACCAAGATAAAAAAATAGAAGATACAAGAATAAAACCAGGATATAAAAAGGGGAAAAGCCCAAGGTGACTTGGGTACCCCATTCCAGTGCCCTGACATGGAGCTGTAGCTGTGGGTGCCCAGAAAATGCCCTTTCCATCATCATTCCTGCTAAAGTGAGGCTGGAAGGTTCCAAGGCTCCCCTCAGTCTGTGTGTGCAAGTGTTGGTGAGAGGGAGACTGCAGGGGAGGAAAAAAAAGACACAACAGGGTAACAAAAAAAAGCCAATTCCTTTTTTCCCCTCTCTCAAGTGCCACAAAAATAAATTCTGCTGAAGCCTCGGTGCTTCCAAGTGTCTGTGGGATTCTCAAGCTAAAAAAAAAAATAAAATCAAAGCACCCCCAGAGCCTGAGGTGCTCTGAGCAGGGAGAGGAGCAGCAGGCACAAGAATTCCAAGGGTTCCACAGGAGCAGCACTCCAAGGGTTTGTGTGTCCCTCTCAGGGTGGGGATTCCAGCAATGGGGACCAGGAGTGGCTCCTGCACTTTCCACCCCAAACCCATGAACAAAGGCAGGACCGTGATCCCAAATCTCTCACCTGGACTCCCTCTGGGTGATGGCCAGGTAGATTTCCCAGGAACTCTCCTCTGGAATGGCCCCGTGTGGAATCAACAGACTGACCCCTGGAAAAGAGCAAGGGCAGGAGTGACCCTTGGGAAGGGCAGGGCTGCCAGGGACGGGGAGCACCACCAACCAGAATGTTCCTCTGCACTCCTGCTTCTCATGGCAACCTCACCAGATGAAAGCAATGTAAAGTATCAAAGGAAATAAAGCTGTTGCTTTTTCATCAAAGGAAAAGACATTTTATCTCCCAAAAAAGCCTCTTGGAGGCTCTTTAATTTTTGAAATCACACTTGATCATTGTGGGATCCCAGGGAATCTCCTTTTTGAAATCACACCTGATCATTGTGGGATCCCAGGGAATCTCCCCATGGAGAGGGGGATCATCATTGTCCCCACTCATCCCAGCTCCTGCACCCCAGTGATCCCATCCTCCTTGCACACCACCAGAGTGGATCAGAAGTTAACAGGGTAGTTTTAAACTGCTTTATCTCACTCTCAGGAGAGGGGGGATGTGTTTGGCATCTGCCACATGATGCAGAGACTTGGCGAGGCACCGACTCGATCACACTGGAATTTACAACTGCTTGGCACAGCTGATCTTACATAAAGGCAGCAAGAATTACATAAATTTCAAGTGGACCAAATACATATTTTAATAATCTAATTGATGGGACTATCATTACATAAAGTAGCTAAATATACAGTATGAGGGAATTCTTAATTCATGCCTTAACTTGGTGCCTCTGCAGTGTTCTTTCCTCAGCACAAAACCAGTCTGTGGAGAAATTAAAACATTCCCCACGTTGTGCATGCCTGGGCTGTCACTGATATCAATCCTCTCTAAACACAAGCCACGTTTTTTATGGTAACCTTTAAAGCACCCGTTTTGTGGGACATGAAGGATAAAGCTCTAAATCATCCAGTTCAACCAGAGAGCAGCAGATAATCCTGGAGCCACTGCTCAAACGAAAACAGAGCTGAATTTAAAGTGGATAAATATCACTGGAGTTGAAAGATGATAACACCTAGCTGGCAGTATCTGGCATTTTGTGCTATGTTTTGGGGAGAGAAAATACCCAGGCTAAGGGCTGGGATTTGGGGTGATGCAACACAGCCCTGGGGTGCAATGCAGGGCTGTGACCCTGACAGGCTCTGATCTGCTGTCCAGCTCATTCCACAACAAACAAACAACCCTGAAGGTCTAAAACACGTCCCACAAAGGTCACAAAAGTCAAAAAGCACACAAAGCAGAGGGAGCCACAAAGTAGAGGGAGCATCCCAGCCTGGGACAGGGGCCCTGCTTTGGGAATCTGGAGAGATTTTGCTCCAAGGAAAGGGAAAAGAGGCAGGCAGGAGGGGCAGGAGCCTGGTGGGCAGTGGGGTTGTCCCCAAGTCTGGCTGCTGTCCCTGTGTCCCCCTGTGGGACTGGAGCTGGTGTTGGAACGTGAGGAGCCCCTTATGTAAGATCCAGCACCGACCCTTCCCGGGGAGCCTCTCCTCTGGAGCAGCATGCAAGCAAGGCACAGCTTTGATTAATGTGACTTTCATGCTGAAGACATCAAGAGAGGCAGTAATTTAAAACAGTTCAAACAGGCATAATGCCTCTTCAGTCCTCAGCCCAGGCTTCCCTCTGATCACTCGTGTCCTGTGTGGGCAACGTGCCCTACTTCCAAAATTTGCATTAACGGGGCCCCTGCTTCTTCCTTCCTGGAGAAAAATTTTAAATTTTAATTTTTTAAAAAATTCAGTTATAAAACATTACATCAGGCAGCCTAAGCTCAAATTCCTCTGCATGCTTTGATGAGCAAGGAGCCACCTGTTGGGGTGTGATGTCACGGTTTGTCTCAGAACCCTGGGTCCCTCCCCTGATAATTCCCTCCCAGATGCGTCAGTCCCCTCTCCTTTCCTCTCCCAGCACTGTCTGTCAATCCTGGAATTCCAGAATTGGCAGATCCAAACGATGCCCTCTACCCCTGGGGGGCATTGGGCCATCCAGGTGTCCTTTGTCCCTTTGTCCCTCCCCTCCTGTCCCTGCTTGGTGGCTCCCTGCCCCTTCCCTGCCCCTCTCCCCGGGTTAAAGGAGCAGCAACCACGGGCTCAGGGAGTTCTGTTGGAGCTGCTGCTGCATTCAGAGGCCTGTGGGCCAGAATAAAGCTCTGGGTCCAAACCCTCCATCAGAACCGACTCCTTTCCTTCACCATCGCCTTAAAGCTTCTCCACAGAGGGAAACCTGAGGAGCAGCCCCTGTTATGGGGGGAAGCTCTATCCCAGCACCACCGGAGCTCCTGCAGGCCTGGCCTTGTCCCCACGGGCCCAGTGCAGCACCCAGCCAGCCAAAAGTGTCTGTGGGGTGAAACACCACACACCCAGCCAGCCAAAGGTGTCTGTGGGGTGAAACACCACACACCCACAGCCCAAAGTGTCTGTTGGGGGGAAACACCACACACCCACAGCCCAAAGTGTCTGTGGGGTGAAACACCACACACCAGCCAGCCCAAAGTGTCTGTGGGGTGAAACACCACACACCCAGCCAGGCAAAAGTGTCTGTGGGGTGAAACACCACAGTGCTGCTGTTTGATTCAGCACCAAGGCCAGACAAGCTCCCATCCACATGTCCCATCCCCAATATTGGTAATTATTCCAATAACCACCCACCTGTGTTGGGGACCACCAAGCGTCCCCCCAGGTGCCCGAACAGGGCCGTGCTCCTCAGCTCGCTACTGCTGGAGATGGAGGCCAGGTTCTGGATGAACATGGCCTTGTTCCTGGCCTGGAGGGTGCCAAAGGGCCTGGGGCTGCCGTGGGGGAAGGTGCCGGGGTGGGCCTTGCCGTGGAACTCGGCCCGCTCGGTGACGCCCAGGGACACCATGAAGGAGCTCTGCACCTTGACCTTGATGTCAGCCAGGGGGTTGAACAGGGAGGACTCGGTCATCAGCTCCTTGTCCAGTGGGTCCTGCAGGCAGATTGGGCCGCTGTAGGTCCTGCTGACCGTCAGCTCGGGCTGCAGGGATGAGTTGAGGAGCAGGGAGTTACCTGTGGGGACAGCAACAGGGAGGGAGGGTGAGAGGAATGGGGGGTTTGTGTTTCCAAACAAGCTGGTGGATGAAACCAGCACTGGGAGATGAAAGAAACAATGGGAATGATTCCACTGATTGACGAATGGAAAAGGATATTTGCTTTTACAAATAAACTTTAGGTTTGCTGATAAATTAAATTAGACATTGAAAGATGAAAGAAACAATGGGGAAGAAAGACGCCTGAATTCCATAAAAATTAAAAATTAATTTTAATTTTACATTAGAGGGAAATTAATTTTAATTTTACATTAGATGGTTTTACATTTAGAGAGAAATCTTTGGGGTCAGGTGTTCTGGGAAGTCTGAACATCTCAAGTACCTCAGAAATGAGGAAAAAACCCCTAAATTCAGTAAGAATTTAAAATTAAAAGGAGTGTTATGCGTTAAAGGGAACTCTTTGGGATCAGGTGTTCTGGGGAGTCTGAACGACTCAAGTACCTCAGAAATGGGGAAAGAGAGAAGGGAAATGTGGCTGGAAATTGGGATAAAAAGGGAGGCTGCGTCCTCCAAAAATCTGAGAGACCCCAGGGGATGCCCCATGGCCTCTGCCTTGATTGGAATAAAGTCAAAGGACTCTTCTGTGTCCTTTTTGGACATAAACCTCTGGTGTTTGTGGATTCATTCTCCTGACAAGGGGACACCTCAGCAAACCCTCCCTGAGCTCTCAGAGCCCAAAATCCCTGTTGGATTTCACAAACATGAAGTGTCAGACCTTGGCCCAGTTCTTCCCAAAACACCAGGTCATGTCAGAGGGCAGAACTGGTGCCAAGATCTGACACTTCATGTTTGCCAGGCCTCAGGCAGCTCCAGAGTGCAGGAATAATCCAGGAAGGATCCTTTGGTTTGGATTCACGTTGTTGTGTTTGCCCTTCTGCCTCTCTTGTTGTTTTCTTCCCTTACATTAAACCCCACTGGGTGACAACATCTTCCTGCAGACCTTTTACACAAACCCACAGCCTGAGGAAAACTGGGCTTGAAAGGGAGGTGGGACAAGAGTGATACAGGGAAAGGTATCACAGTTTATTCATTTTGAGGTGTTTTACCTCAGAAAACGCTCTGAAAAATGAGGAGTGCATGGATTTAGAGTCCTCTGGCTGCTTGGTTTTGTGATGGGGTCTTTTTCTTTGGTTGTTTAGTTGGGTATTTTCAGAGCCTCCAGAATAAAAGGTTTTTTAAGCATTAAGCCAAGCAAACAATTCCCCAGACTCAAAACAAGACTCAGACTGAACCACAAAGGAAAATGTTCTTGTTTGAGACAGTCATTGAGATTTACACAGCCCTAATTAAAGGTTTGGATTTAGAAATGGATGAATGAACTTCCTTCAAACGTCCTTGTCTGCCAAGCCCTTTTGCCAATTTCTTGCAAGTCATGCTTGGTGAGGAACGTCTCCAGGAAATAAAGAAACCGTAAAAAACAACCCCACAAAACCCCCCCAAACAAACTCTGCAACATATTTCCCTTTTCTGCAGAGAGAACAGAGACATGGGGACACTTTCACAGCCTGCCCACGCTCCCACCCACCCACAATCAGGCAGGTCTGAGGTAGAATGGCAGCACAGAATCAATAAACATCCTGCTTCCATCCCCTCTCCCTCCCCACCTTCCTGTTCTGAGGGAATAACATTCCTGGAAACCCAAGCACTGCTTTTAGCAAAGGTTTTGTCCATATTTTATGGCACTGGTGGTGTTTTCTAGAGCTTTAGGGGTCCGGTTTTACACAAATTGATTTCCCTCAGTGCCTGTGTTACAGCAGGTTACAAAACACTTCCAGCTGGGGGTCTTGGATTATCAGGAAAAGAATAATTCCTTTTATTGGAGAGAAGGAAACCTCTGAAACTGAGAACAGGAGGAGCTCCAGCTGTGCTGCCCGGGCTTGCTCTGATTTGGTTGCTTGGCTTTAATTTGAGCTTTTCCTAAATCAGTGGAGGAGCTGGGGATTTTGGAAGGGACATGGGGATTTTGGATGCTGGACAGCACTCCTAAAGCATCTGGAGCATGG